CTTTGAGCCTTAAGGAGCAGACAGAATTCAGATACCTTATCAACCGAGTGTTTTGCAATTGCAAGTATTTTGACGACCGTTACGACCTTACGAATATATTCCCAATCGCTTGGAAGCAATCCAACATTAAGCGTGCGTAATAGCATATGCTTTATATTCAACTTTAATGATTTTTTTAAGTCTTACTTTTTTAGCGTTGTAAGTCAACGCTTCGAGCGCTTCTTTGCTTAAATAACTTGTTCGTAAATGCTAAAGTATCGATAAATCTTTTTTTAAAGCTCGGAAAATACTACTCTTTTAGAATTTATAGCGTATTTGCAAGCGCTTTTAAATTGTAAAGAATATCATTAAGCAAAAAAAGTTACGAATCAATTAAAGTAAAGAATAATTAAATAACTTATATTTAAAAAACGTAAAGTTGAACTTCTTTTTCAACTTTCTTAATACGACGCTCTCTTTGACTTCTTCGTAGCAAAGAGTTGCGTTATATCTCGAGTATTATACGCTAGCTTTGCTTAAAAGAGCTTTCGAAATGATATTAATATTAAATTTTTTAATAATAACGACGTTTTCTAACTTTAAATCTTTTATCTTAACTTTATTTAGTCCGTTTAAAGCTCTTTTAAAGACTTTAGTACTTCGCTCGACGATTAAAAGACTATTTGTTTTAGCTTTAATAAAGTCGATTAAGCGGAAGCGTTAAATTGACTTTAGCTTTAAGAGATTCTTATCGTTAATAAAGTAAGTAGCGCCGCAATTATCGAAAAGAGTGCTGTTAAATAGCTAATGCTTATTATTAATCGTATTGTAAAGACCGTTAAAGATAAGATTATCGAGCGTATTAAAGAGCTTAAGATCGATGATAGCTATTAATACTTTTTTAAAGTATTTTGACTTATCGCTATTATTCGATTGCTTCTTTTTGCTTTTTAAGACGATCTTATCGATTTGAATTTATGCTCAATTCTTTTTAATAATCTCTTTTTAAAGCGCTTTGAATTTAAGCTTTTAAAGCCTTTTCTTTATAACGACGATATTATCTCGGTTCGGCTTTGCGAATCTACTTTCGTTAAGACCGTTAAAGCAATAACGAAAGATCTTGCACTTAATTGCATTTTAATAGTGTATTCTCTTTTTAAAGCACGAGCACTTAAAACCTTTAGCAAGTCTTTTAAAGCTATCGGAGCGTTTACCGGATTGCTTAAAAGCAATGTCGTTAGCTTTATTACTTTCGAAAGTGCTACGAGTCGTTTGATTTCCGAAAGTAGCGAATACGTTAAAGAAGTTAGAGTTCGGATTGCTAGTCTTTTCGTTGACTTAGCTTTCGTACTAATTAAAGTAATCGTAAAGAGTGCGCTTTTAAAGCAATAAAAGCTCGTCGTTTCGAATGACTTTTGCGAGCTTTAGCGACGCTTAAATTAATAATTATTTTTCGCTAATAGCTTTTAAGAATACTTTTATCGCGAGTGTACTCGTCGTCTCGTAGAAGTTATTTATTTTCGCTAACTTATAGATAGCTCGGTGTTCTTTGATTTAAACCGTTAAAGAGACGCTCTTTTGCTTAACTGCTTGCAAGGATTTATTATAGTTTCGTATTATCGATAGCTTAAAGCTCGAGTCAAATAGACGGCATATTTCTTAAAGCTTTTTTATTAAGAATTAAATAAAAGTATTGTTTTTTTCTAAAGCCGCTAAGATCGCTTTTTCAAGAATAGAGCTCTTAATCGTCTTTTTAATTTAGTTTATAATTTGATTGCTTTTATTATTTAAGACTTTTTAATTGTTTATAACGAAGTTGTATTCTTTTATATTGTCGTTATACGCTTTTCGAACGTTTTCGAACTCAACGTCTTTTAGTTTTAAAAGTCTATTAAAATCGTTTGCAAAAGCTCTTAAGTGCAATTCTTTTTAAGCCTTTCGTTAGCGGTCTTACTTTTAAAACTATTCGTTATTAAGCTCTGTTATTATCTTTATAGCAGACTTCGTTTTTAGTTTAATTTGCTCGATAAAAAAAGCAAGCTTTTTTACGCTAATACGAAGAGCTGCGTATTGTTTTATACTAAGGCGCTTGATAAAGTATTTGTAATTCGTAATTTATCTTAAGAAGTCGCTACGACTTATAAAGTTCGTTTTGTTAATTAAGAAGACCTCTTTTACTTTGTCGTTTATTATTGTAGCAATTTATTTTATGATTAAAGCTTTTGAAAATTGGTTAGAGTTTTTAAAGGTGATAAGTGTTAGTTGTAAAGAATAAATATAATTGAAAAAAGATAAATTGCAAAAATGAAAGTTGTAGCAAAGTAGCGTTAAAGTGACTTGCAAAATTCGCTCTCGATTAATTCGGAAGTTATTAAAAACTAACTAAATAGCTCGTAAGTGCGAATATAGCTTTTAATTGTAATGCTTACTAGCATTAAGATTAAAAGGAGATTCTGTAAATTGAATAAAGCTTGGTATATTTTATTTAAGAAGCTCGTCAGGATCTATGTACATGTACCTAAGAGCTCTAGTGTGCTAAGGGCGCTACTAAGCGAGGTCACATGACATGTTATATGTAGCTTGGGTGGAGCATGCCTGTTCCGCACAACAAATGAGATAAGATAAAATGAGTTAAGATAAGATTGAGTTAAAGATAAGGCTATTAAGAGTTTAAGTTGGATTGAATAATAAGATTAGATTAGATTAAATAAATGTAAGAAATTAAAGCGGAGCGGAAAAAAGGACGGTAGTTTAATATAGTATAATGTATTTGATTTGGTTTAAAGCTAATACTTTTATTATAAGTTAAAAAGAGGATTAGCGGCGATGTGAGGTAAAATGAAATAAAATAAGCAAGATTGAAAAAGTCCGCGAAAGATGTAGGCGGGTTTAGAAAGTGCGCGGAAAGTGTAAGTATTAGTAAGTTTAAGAAGTTTGAGAAGCTTAAGGTTGATGGATTAAGTAGATTATTAACTGAGTAAGCGGTAGAAAAAGAAAGGCGAAAGGAAAGGTTAAAGCTAAAAAGGAAATAAAGGATTTAGAAAAAAGTAGTTTAAAAGCTAGCAAAAGTAAAAATTAACGCGAGATATTTTTAAAGCTAATATAAAAGTAAAGTCGCGTTAATTGCCGGCCGGAAAAACATTTCGCGCTAATTTATACTTCTGCTAAGCTTTATATTTACAATCAAGGTTATTATCGCTCCGCTAGCTTTATTTTAAAGTGATCTGCGAGATAAGCATATACTTTTAATTAATAAAGGAGTTTTAAAAGTTAAACAAGAAAAAGGAAAGTAAATATATGTGTATAAAAATATAAAAAAAAGAAAGGTGGCCTAGTTATTCCCAGCGCCGTCGGGCCCAGCCGTCCTACGGCCTCGCGTCTTCTCGACTGTCTCGCAAAGCTCGTTGCAATTGGCCAAGTACTCGATCACGAGGCCTTTATGCGACGCCGGCTTATCGTCTACGTCCACTGCGTCCGTTCATCCGGCATCATTTATATATCAGCTAATAAGCAAATCAATTAATCTTTTTACTTTAATACTTTGCAAGTATAATTATAATGCATACATGCAATTCATTTCTTATTTATTGCATTTTGATTTCCTTTCGAATCCGATCATCCAAATGCAAGCGTTCTATTAATCCTCGCCGCTCGTTTGCCGTTAAAGCACCTTAGAACGATTTTTTGGTCGTTGTAATAGCTTGAAGCTGCTATGCTTATTAAAAGCACGTGCATGCTAAGGGAGTACATAGATTTCTCCTACTAAAAAGAACTTAGAAATATCATCTTCTCTATACAACCACCCCCCCCCCCCCCCCCCCCCACCTTAAAGTGTCGTTTACACGACCTTCATTAACAGAACTCTAAAACAAGCGCGAGGACTTGGTTCGGATCCTGGTCGATTGCGCTCGATATCTAAGTCGTCTAAGGTAGCAGGATCGAAGGGCGTGGCGGAAAACGGTGTATGCATGCTTGTAGTAAGTGTTATTTAATAGTACCGCTAAGCGAGCCCAGATTTCAACGCAGCCACAAGCACAAGCACAGGCACAAGCACACCCACACCCATACCCACACCTAGCCCCATTATCCCTGCTCCCACGGGCCCTGCCTGACCTGCATCGCGGAATCAAAAAGTATAGGGGGTGGTGGGGCTCTTTCCTTTCTTCTCTTCCTTATCTCTTATCTCCTATCTCCGATCACCTATCGCTCATCCTCATATCAAGCCCTCTCTAAAAGAATCTTTTGCTGCCTTCTAGCTCGAAGGGTAAAGTTTCAATCTAAAGTTCTTATATACGCAACAGATCTTTCAGTAGTCTTAAAAATAATAAGCGGTCGTAACTCAACTTAAGTCACTGCAAGTCTGCGTGGTCAGAAAGCAACGTGGGTCAGAAAAGGATTAGTCAGCAAGATCATTCCGCGAAAGCGTTTGCATCAGTTCAAAAGGCATGCACGAGCCCGTCGTGGACCGGTTCCAGTCCATCCTCCAGATCTGCATCTATCCATTTCTCCGAGCTATAATGCTTCAGTAACCAGCTATTAAAATAATAACAATTAAATATTCGATTTTATATTTTATAATTTTATTGCATTTCATTTTATATCCTTTCATTTCGATTTATTTACGAACCGTTCGTAGCATAAGCATAGCGTGAACTGATTCGCGAGGATATAGCATAAGCATAGCAAAGCGGAGCGAAGCGGTTCGCGGTACTTATCCGTATGTCTCGTATCAATTCAAGAAAATAAAGATTTATATTCAAACGGAGACGAAGATAAAGAGTTTCGCTCTAAGACATGCATATATACATACATACACGTATACATTCATATACACAAACACATACATACATATATACATACACACGTAAATAAATCTATCGTAATTCAAACAACAAACGATTAAAGTAACCGCTTTATTCCATCATCAAATTTCTTATTAAATCTGCATCTTTCAAGTAAGCAATTACATTCCTTTCGCTTGCTTGCTTATTTTACTTACATTTATTCAGATCACCGAAAGTATGACGACCTTATTCAAATCCCACCCTCCTTCTCTTATTTTTTCCGCAAAGGATGCAGAGAATAATGGCGGATCCTCTTCCCTTTCGCCCGCGGCGGATCGGAGAGATTTACTTGAATCTCCATCTCCTTCGCCGTCCGTTCCAGCTTCGCCATCTCTTCGAGTATCGCCACTTCCATCTCCTGCCCTTCTAGCTTCGCCATCTCCTCAAATAACGCCATCTCCCCAAGAATCGCCATCTCCTTCCCTTCCAGCTTCGCCCTCCCTTCCAGCTTCGCCCTCCCCCTCCTCCCTACCCCCAAACTCCCAAGCCACCACCCCCCCTTCCTCCACAAACGCCCACCCCCCCTCTCCCCGCGACGAAAAGCTCACCACCCTCTTCTCCAACATCTCCCTCCTCCTCTCCTCCTTCTACGACACCCATCCTTACGTCTCCCCCCTCCTTAACCCTTCAGCTATCACCGACGGCGACGTCTTCGACCACCCCGCGACCGGCGTCCAGCTCATCGCCATCCCGAACTACTGCAACGCTTCGTTCTTGAAGATATGCCAAGCGGGGGATATTGAGTATAAGACTTTAGTACGTTGGTTTTCGTTTATTTATCATCTTCTTTCTTTTTTATCTTTTTTCACCCGTTTATATTTATGCACTTAGCTAATTCTTTGAAATTATAGGCTTATTCCGTTAGCAAGACCCCCGTAGGCCAAACCTTTGCCCAGAAGAAGAAGGCTTTAGAAGTTCGTCGGCAAGCTTTCTTGGATCGGATCGGGAGCAAGCGCGCTTGTGAAGCTGTCGGATTGGATCTAGATACGGTGGCTAAAGAAGGGGGGCATGAGGATGAGCATAAGGGTGAGGATGAAGATGAGGATGAGGATGAGGATGAGGATGAGGATGAGCATAAGGATAAGCACGCGTCTAAACGCCGTCGCCTTTAATCTCAATCTCGATCTCGATCTTTTATTTATGTATTAATCAATCAACCAATCAATTAAAGAATCGCACTATCTTATCCCTTCTCCTCCTATCCTAATCGTCGGTTTCCTTAAATTTTAATTCGAAAGAATTGACCGACTTGCTGTAGCAAGTCGGCATCACCAAGGCGGGACACCCAGCAAGGCGGGATAGTAAAATTTGCTCTCTTTTAATAAATAAAAAATCAACTAACTATC